AGTGGCCGGTGAGTGAGTGGGCAAGCATACTGGCACCTTTTCTTATTGGAGAACCCCAGAAGGCTTTCTATGACCTGGAACCAGCACAGGCAGGTGAAAGGATAAATGCTGTTCTGGACTCAACTCCCCTCGATTCTCGCTCCTTCGATCACCACATCAATTGATGGGAGATCTTGTTTAGCAAATAAGACACACAGACACGAAAGAGTGCATAACAAGTTCTCAATGAGTATATTTTCAGGGCTAGCATTTATACACAATTTCTCATGCAAGCAGTGAAGTCTATAGTGTCCTTGTGGTTAATAGTACATACTTGTTGGACATGAAAAAGATAAGCATTTGGATGAAGACGAGACAGGAACATCCTAAGGTCAAGGAAGGTCATACATCCTGTAGAGGAAAGACCTTGGTCCAAAATACATCTGCCAAAGTCAGCATAATTATTTCAAACATTATTTTAAAGCATATAAAGCAAAAAGAGTTAACCATTTCACTTCCTTAATTAATTTGCTCATATCATTGATAAGATCTTCCCAGGTCAGAGAAACTTCCACATGGTATTTTCAGGGGTGCTAGTCACTCCCTGCGGGACTTTCATTAATTTCTTCACCTCGATTCCCATGTGGTAATTCCTAAGGCCCAGTTTTAAAGATGGGTTGATAGCCTCCAGTGGCAGAGAGGAGAATTTCCAATTGTTTCTGTTCTGCATTATGGATTAATTTCTGTATTCTCTTCCTCAATGTACAAGTAAGATGGCAGTTATATAAAATCATACCCAATACAATCAGGACTATAATAACAAGAGGATAGAAGAATGATTTCATTATCTGGGATCCAGTAGGGGACCAACCTGTAAAAGCATCGTACCAATGATGGGCTAAATCATTCTGAATTTGTGAACTCACCTTAAGGAGTTCTCCTTTTAGGATATGTGTGGCTACCTGTGTGTGTACTATAGCATCATTATGTGTAACAAGATGTTTAAACATATTTTGTTTTCCTTTCATTAAGGAGACAATAGTCTCAAGAGGTAGATGGTAATCTTTAAAAGGCAGAGAGCCTAATAGGGCATTAATATGTTTGTCTAAAGTGATTGTGTCGCTGAAATAATATTGGGTGTCATTAAGATCTAACCAGGTAACATTAGTCAAACATCCTGAAAAGGGGAGAGGTAGATTAATACTTGTATTACTAGTAATTATCTTTGTAGGGAGGTTAGTTGCCAAACAGATATGTCGTGTGCTTATTTCAGTCATGGTAAAATAATTTTCAGGATATATGTGCCATATGCACTTGTTAAGTTCATTTTGGAGTAAGCATGGTTCATAAATAGGGGACGAGTGTCGACATGCATATCCTTTGTCAGTGAGAACACAGTGTTTAAGGGAATAGGTCATATTATCTTTGGGGAAAATATAGTCCCCTGTGTATGTGGGTGCCCACCAGGTTAAATTCCTGGTAAAGAGATCATAAACTGGTACTGGTAATGTGTTAAATTGACAAGCTAATTTAACATCCTTTGATGATGTATGATATAGTGTAAAATAGCATGAGCATGAAAAATGTGAAACATTACCAGTTAACCATTCATTGCATTTAGTGGATTGGGGTTTTAGAAGTAACCATTCATTATCTGTGAGGTCAAGCATCCCTCTAATCTTCTCTAGTTTAGGAATCATTAGTGTGTCTTCTAATGCCAGTCTTTGTTGTTGCATCCATAAATACCTGATGGCACAAGTACTCCAGTTACCAAGATCTGTAGTGAATTTCATAGTTGCAACAGTTAAATTACCTAAATAGTTATACATTGATGTATCTAAATCCAATCCTGTAACCTGTGATTTAACAACAATTGGAGCCCAGTTTGCAATAGCATGGAAACCAGTCCCTATATGCATGCTGGCCGTGTTTAACTTATTCTTGAGGGTCTCCATGTCTATACTATTTAGTATACCCATAGTGGTTCCAGCACCGCCTAACAGTGTGTCATACCATTCCCTTTTCTGCCTTTTGTTTGCTGTGTTACATATTGTTACAACAGGAGTAGTGATTTTTAATGACACATGTACAGCTTGTAAGAAGGCAGTTGTATTAACACATGTGGACGGAATAGGTGTGTGTGTGTCGTGGTTGACTTTTGGTTCTATGGTAGAGGATAAAGGACAGTAATAAGGTGTAAAAATATAAGGTAGTGTACAGTTCTCAATCGCAGTGTCGTTCATAATGACTAACATTTGTCCCCTTTTCCAATTAATGGTACCAGTTGTATAATCATTATTAAAAATAATAAGGCCTGTCTGTTTACATTGATATGCAACCTTACTAATTTTCTTATAATATATATCCCAAACCTGTTTAGGTGGGTTTTTTTTACCATCAGAACTTATATTAAATAAGGTGGCACAGATGCTGGTGTAATTAGCAACCTTAACTGTGCACATTTCTGCGTTATAAGATCTAACAATTTTCCGTGAACCTTCAAACAAACATAATGCATCGGTTTCATTAGCTGTGGACACATTCCATATGGGTAACTGGTACTTATAAGGGTTATTATTTATCCAGTTCATCCATATGTGTTCAGTCAATGAGTGCTTGCATATTACATGCTGATAGATAGGTGGTGGAGAAAGGTTCTTGAGGGAGCGTGTGTGACGAGTGCTAGATGAGGGGCTAAGGCCTAATTGGGCTGGGGGTATTGAAGAATTGTTCATCATGTCAGAGTCATTTCTCCAGAAACAAACAGGTTTCAAACTTCCCATTGACTTGTACTCATAATGGCATTCAAGGAATAATATCAGAGGGAGTATAACAACTCCAGAAAGCATAGCGCACAACATAATCTTGGTCTCAGGTTCGTATGATCCTCTCAATCTACGATATGGTGTGAAAGCCATGATGCTTCGCTAAGAGGAAATTCTTCTCTTTCCGAGTGAGGAGTGGTGTTGTCTTCCTTGGTTCCCCTCTTTGGACACAGCTTCACTCAGGATGCGTGAATCCAGATGTCGTGGGAATCTGTGAGGACAGCGGTTCTGGTTACAGCAATCACAGTAGCAGGTGGTCCGAAAGGGTATCCTCCTTTCTTGGTCCTATTCAGCTGACGGATATACACCTTGTCACCAGGCTGGTATGGATGAGTAGGTTCCTGTGAAGGTAAGGGAAACTGCGAAGAAACATTGCCATATATACCATTCAGTTTTATCAACAATTCCTGTACATATTGTTCTTGTATTAGCTGTAAATCCCCAGACATTATAACAAGCGGTTCCCTGGCCCAGGGTGTGGGAAAAGGTCGTCCCATCAGAATCTCAAATGGAGATAATTTAGTCACCTTGTGAGGAGTCATTCTTATCTCAGCTAAAATAGCTGGAAGATATTTTGTCCAATTTACCCATGTTCCTGCAGTAGCTTTCATAAGCTTCTCCTTAATGGTCCTATTCATCCTTTCAACTACCCCTGAACTCTGTGGATGATAGGGTATATGAAACTTCCAGGTAACTTGCAAGAATTTAGCAAGTTCCTGGGTAACCTTACTAGCAAAAGCCGGGCCATTATCAGAGTTAATCTGCAGAGGGCAGCCATACCTGGGAATAATTTCAGTAGCAAGAATCTTCACTACCGTCCTAGCATCCTCCCTAGATGTCACAAAGGCCTCAGGCCATCTACTAAACTGATCAACTATGACCAGTAAGTATTGCTGTTTCTTACCAATTTTGGGTACATGAGTAAAATCAATCTGTAAGTGTGTAAAAGGAGCAGCTGGAGGGGGAAAATGTTCGTGCTGTGATTTGTGTGGAATATTCGGATGTGTTCTCATACATGGTTCACACAATCTAACAAAAGACTGTACATGCTGCCTGAGATTCTTAATATAAAATGAATTCATGAGGAATTGGATGGTACTTGCTATGCTCTTGTGGCCAGGACCATGGGCCTGACTGATAAAGATAAAACAGCTGGCTTCAGGTATGCCTATCTTCCCCTCTCTAGAGAAAAGATCATTCTGATCTTTTTCTAAACCTTGTTTAATCCAAAAATCAAAGTCAGTTTGCGTTGCAAAGGCTTGGAGCTGCAAAAGCAAACTGTCAGTCGGGCATGTGGGAGGTGTGAGCATAGCAGGAAACATTTCATAATAAAGAGTCTTGGCTGCAACTTCTTTTGCCACTTTGTCAGCCAAGGCATTACCTCTGAAAATGTCGTCACTACCCAGAGTGTGTGCCTTGCAGTGGATAACAGCTACTTCAGATGGGAGTAGGATAGCATCTAGGAGTGATTGGATGAGATTTGTGTGTGAAATGGCTTTTCCATCGGCTCCTACAAAGCCTCTTTGTTTCCAAATCACACCAAAATCATGCACTACCCCATGAGCATATCGTGAGTCTGTGTAAATGTTCACTCGCTGTCCTGAGAAAAGCTGACAAGCACGTGTGAGAGCAATGAGTTCTGCAGCTTGTGCAGACGGCTGGAAAATAGTCTCAGCTTCAATGATTTTATCAGGTAGCTATACCACAGCATAGCCTGTGAGGTATGTACCATCATTTGGTCTGGAGCAAGAGCCATCCACAAAGACAGTGGTCACATCCGGGCCACTGAGTGCTGTGGAGGAGAGGTCTGCTCTGGGAGATGTGGCAATATGTATTTGTTCAATGCAATTATGAGGCTCAGATGGTATAGACACAGAGTCAGATGCAGAAATGAGAATAGCATGCAAAACAGACATAGGACCAGAATTAACAGGACTATAAACAATAGACAGATTCTGGGTATTAAGAAGAATAATCTCATAACCACTTAAGCGCTGGGCTGTCATGTGTTGTGTGGTGAGATTTTTTATAAGCTGAGTAACCTGGTGACTGGTATGGAGTATTGTAGGATGCCCTAGTGTGATAGTAGTTGAAGTCTCAACAGCCATTGCACATGCTGCCAATGCTCTGAGACACGCCGGCATACCCTGTACCGGAGCTGGAACTACTTTGGAAAAGAATGCTATGGGACGCATACCGCCTCCGTGCTCTTGTGCACAGACCGCGGCCATGGTTTTACAGTTGTCCCGAGCATACAAATGAAATGGTTTACAATACACAGGTAGTCCTAAAGCCGGGGCTTGTACAATAGCAACTTTGAGACCAATATACGCAGCTAGCATGTCTGGTGACCAGCAGACATTTTCAGGGCTGTCAGAACGTACAGCCTCCCTTAGGATTGAGTCATAATGGGAGCATTCAGGGATCCATTGGCGGCAGTAATTAATCATGCCGAGGAAGGTGAGCAACTCCTTCCGAGTAGTGGGTTTAGGAATCCTCTGAATGACCTCAATACGTTTTGGACTCAATTGTCTGGTGCCTGAAGCCAGAACAAAACCTAAGTAATCAACCTTTGATTTACACAATTGCATTTTGTGTTTTGCAACCTTGTGACCCACAGTTGCTAAGTGTTTGAGCAAATTGACAGTATCCACAGTGCTTGCCTCATAGCTAGGGCTACATAACAATAAGTCATCAACATATTGCAAAAGGACGGAACCATGACCGGGGGTCCATGTTTTTAGAGTATGTTGGAGTACCAGCGAATAAACAGCTGGGGAATCCACATAGCCTTGGGGTAAGCGTGTCCAGGTAAACTGACAGCCTTCAAAAAGTAAAAGCCATAAGTAGCTGTGTCTCTTGATCAATAGGTATAGAAAAAAATGCATTACTTAAATCAATGACAGTGAAGCAAGTGGCATCATGTGGAATGGCTGTAATGAGGGATGTCACATCAGGGACAATGGGTGCAATGGGCACAATTAAACTATTCAGGGCTCTAAAATCCTGAACTAAGCGATAACCATTACCTTTAGGAACTGGATTAATAGGTGTGTTATATGGAGAAACTACTGGCTTTAGTACTCCCTGCTCTAGAAAAGATTGGATCATGGGGCGAACTCCCTCAACCTTGGCTTCTGACAGGGGGTACTGTTTAAGGTAGATAGGAGTTACAGCTGGTTTTAGTTTGGCTTTGTAAGGGGTGCAGTTGACAAATCCTACATCTAACTTAGATGAAGCCCACACAGAAGAAGGAACATCAGACAAATCAATAGTTTCAGAACACAACATAGACACATCAATACCACCAGAGGGCGTGCAAGTAATAGTAGCTCCCAGAATACCAAGAAGATCCCTTCCCAGCAAATTGACAGGACATTTAGGTATTAAACGAAAAGGGTGCACGGTAGAAGAACCATTAAGAGGACAAAAAACAGACAGTGGTGGTGTGACAAAAGTGGGGGTTGACACTCCATTAATACCCAATGAAGGTGTAGACTTTTCCCTTGTCCCCTGATAATAGGTATCACAGAGACTGGAACACGTAGCTCCAGTATCTACCAAAAATGGCAAGGATCTACCTTCTATGACCAGAATACAAAAAGGCTGATCATCATTAGTAGAGGACAAAAGTGGAAAAGTTGGAGTGTCACCTTCAAGGCAGCCCTATTGGGGCCATGGGATGTGATGGGTGTGCTGGTCAGTGGTACCTGTGAATGGCCCTAATGCAGTTTGGGTTTGTTGGAGCGGAGGGGGAGAGGGAAGTGCTGGCCAGTGGTGTTGGGAGTGGGCCTGGTGTTGTTCTTGCCTACCGGGCGTATTTTGATAATTGTGGGGTTGTTGGGGCTGCTGGGGTTTCCTGGGGTGTGGACACTCATTCCTCCAGTGGCCATGCTGGCCACAGTTGAAACAAGTGTTCCTGTCTATTCCTCCTTGGTTACCCCTGCCCCTATAACCCTGATTTCCCTGTCTCCATCCCCTTGCCCCTCTTTGACCACCCCTTCCACAGGCTCTATGTGCTCCATCCCATCCTCTCTCTCGGGCCTGTGTAGGTGGACAGTGTTGCAATCCCTGAGCATAATAAGCAACCTTACTTCCTGAATCTTTTCTTAAATCAAAACAACCTGCATTTTCCTTCTCAATAACCTTGGTAAGAAAATCTGAGCCACCCAAATTGGCCCAGTCTGAAATCAACTGTTTCACAAGCAAAGAATACTGTGGCAACATATTACCAAGGCATGACTGTATTTTAAGGAGATCCATATCATCTCCAGACTTCAAACCTGCCTCATCCTTCCAACACTTGTAAAATCTCTTTACAAAAACACCAATCTCTTCCTTTGCACCTTGCTTACATGCCAAAGCAGTGGATATAGACTGCTTATTCTTCCATAATCTCAACATTTCAGCTTCCACCTCATCCCACATTTTAGCACATCCTGCTGAAGTACTAAGCTCATAAACACCATCACTGCCAGCCACTCCAACTCCAGTACCGTTGTCTGTCTCACTGATAGAGGGTACATTAGACCAATTCCAACCAGAATCTGAATCATACCCTAATATTCCATTTATAATTAACTGTATGTCTATCTGTGTCATGTTCTGTCCTAAACACATTCTTTTCAGATACATTAGGCATGCAGAGGGATTAGTACGGGGGTTTGGGGCACCTTGAATAATATCCTTGAGTACTCCGGGATTAATGGGTTTCATTATTAACTGATTACCAACAGTCATAAACGGGGCAGTAAGATCAGCACCTTCTAATTCTGGCATCTCTACATCATCATCATCTTGCTTATGTACATATGATTTTAACACCTTGCCACTTTTAAGTTTAACTCCTGTTTGTACTGTTAATTTAACTGTACCAGGAGGTGGCGGTGGGTATTCTATATCAGAATCTGGTGTAGATGATGATTCCTGTAATTGCTGTGATTGTGAATTAACAGCTGCAGCAACAGAAATATCCTCTATATCATCCTCTGAGGGGGCATTAGGTACAGCAGGATACATTGCTTTATAGGGAGGTGGGGGTTGTGGTTGGGCATGGCCGGGGGCTAACTGGGTAGGGGGCACAGTTGGTGGTGGATATAGATTATCAGGAGGGGCTTCTATAGAAAAGCAAATAGTATTACTGTCAACAGTTCCCTTTCTCTTAGCCAGGTGTTTCTTAGCTCCCTTTAAAACCTTTCCTGTTACACTACAAGGAAACCAATGAGGGGCTATCAGCAACCAATTTTCACCTCCTGCTTTCATATATTCCTTATCCCAATCTGGATCAGGACCATACCACGGCCATGACTTCCTATCTCCCAAACACAATCCTCGAATCATATTCATATGAAAATCATCATTAGCCCCAGACCTGGGAAAAGGATCAGATGACTTCATAGTCTCTGTCCATCCTGCTAAATTTGACACAAAGGGGATTGTAAGAAATCCTCCTTGTGCTCCTATTCTAGTAACATAATTTAGACATGACTCCCCTGGGTGGGGTAAAGGGTAAGAAATAGACTGATTATTTCCCATATTTCTGGCTCAGGGTAGAGACACTACCTACTTACCAATAGTGTGTCTCTACTTAACAAGCAAAATAAACACAAAGCAGACACAGGGTGACCAAAGGAACGAGAAGTTTGGGTTATTCTAGATCTATGAACCGTGTTCCCTAGAACACTTATAGTATTAATAAACCGGAGACTCCTTTATAGTCTCAAAACCTGTATCTACCTGAGATACCCTGTATCTATCTTAGATACTAACCTGGGTTACCAAAACCCTATATATATTTAGACCAAATGTCTAATAAACCGGAGACCTATTTACAGTCTCAATATAACGAAGTCCTTATACCTTTCCTTTCTACTGGATACAGACTTACTAAACCAAAGGGGGTCATAGACAATTAGCGTCAATAAGACACAAAAAGGCTACTCACCCAATGGTTTTGCTGATCCCACTTCTAGACACCAAGCTGAAAGGATAAATGCTGTTCTGGACTCAACTCCCCTCGATTCTCGCTCCTTCGATCACCACATCAATTGATGGGAGATCTTGTTTAGCAAATAAGACACACAGACACGAAAGAGTGCATAACAAGTTCTCAATGAGTATATTTTCAGGGCTAGCATTTATACACAATTTCTCATGCAAGCAGTGAAGTCTATAGTGTCCTTGTGGTTAATAGTACATACTTGTTGGACATGAAAAAGATAAGCATTTGGATGAAGACGAGACAGGAACATCCTAAGGTCAAGGAAGGTCATACATCCTGTAGAGGAAAGACCTTGGTCCAAAATACATCTGCCAAAGTCAGCATAATTATTTCAAACATTATTTTAAAGCATATAAAGCAAAAAGAGTTAACCATTTCACTTCCTTACAGCAGGGGTCTACTCCAAATTGAAGGCTGAGATCCTTGCACGACTTGGTGTGACTGTGGCAGTTCGTGCCCAAAGATTTCATGCCTGGACTTTCAACCAAGAGAAGCCTATCCGCTCCCAGATGTTTGACCTGATACATCTGGCTAGAAAGTGGTTACAACCAGAAATAAATACGGCAAGCCATATCATGGAACTTCTTGTGATGGACAGATTCCTGCGGGGCTTGCCTGCTTCACTGCGTCGATGGGTCAGTCAGAGTGATCCACAAACAGCTGATGAGTTAATTGGTTTGGTGGAAAGATATGTGGCTGCAGATGACAGACAGTGGCTCAACAACACAAAGGCTAAGCAGAGAGTTAAGACTCCAGCTCCTGAAAGACCTGGTAAGATTTTTCAAGATTTCAGAGACACAGAGGAACAAGAGACATATTCTCAGGGACCCCATACGCTTATGCCTAGAAATGTTAATCCTGGAAAAGGGTCTAGGTGGGGGACAGTTGATAATATGAAATTTTTCCGGTGTAATGAACCTGGACATAAAGCTAGACACTGTCCCTTGATTGATGAACCGATGCAATGCAATATGATTAGTCAGGATGTACAATTGTCTTGTTTGCTGAATTGTATGGAATCTGCTGTTGCCAACTGTAGTCACAATCCACAGATATGTTTCATAAAGGTGAATGGGAAAGAGGTTAGAGCTCTATTAGACTCCGGAAGTATGGCGACATTGATAACAAAATGCCTTGTACCTGAAGCCGATGTTGATGCATTTCAGAAAATTGGTATAATTTGTGTTCATGGTGACAAACGTGAATATCCTACAGCTTTGCTAAAATTTGAAAGTCTTTTCGGTACTGTTAATCATAGAGTGGGTGTAGTGGATAAATTGGCTTATGATGTGGTATTGGGAAGAGATTTTCCCCAATTTTTAGACTTGTGGGGGTCTACAGGAAAAATAGTTCATGATTGTATAGCAAATGATTCTAGAAATGTGTTCCCTTTTTCTGACATAGAATGGGAAGGACTAGGCATAAGACCAGAGAAGGCTGAAGCCTCAAGTCACAGGCCAGCTTTAGTAGGAGATGACCAGGGCCACGATAGTCAGGAGACCGATAACGATCAGGATCAAGGCATTAACTTCCCTGAATTAGAAGTCAGTCCTGTTAACTTCAGACCCCACTCTTGCAGAGGCCCGAAAAAATATCCAGGTTTCAACTGATGATCCAGTACAACTAGATAGAGCCCCTTCTTTTCCTTATTTTGAGGTACAGAATGATTTGATCTATAGAGTAGAGAAAAAGGGGATGGATGTTGTAAAACAACTACTTGTTCCTAAGCCCTTCAGACATACAGTCCTAAATCTTGCACACAGCCATATACTGGGGGGACATTTAGGCATAGAAAAAACAAGAGAAAGAGTCTTACAGAGGTTTTACTGGCCTGGGGTGTTCGCTTCAGTTGCAAATTATTGTTCTTCTTGTCCTGAATGCCAACACACCGCCCCTTTTAAGGCATATCGCAGTCCTCTGGTACCATTGCCTATAATAGAAATACCTTTTGAGAGGATTGCAATGGACTTGGTGGGTCCTCTGGTAAAGTCTGCAAGGGGGCATCAGTATATATTGGTGATTCTGGATTATGCTACCAAGTACCCAGAAGCAATACCCCTACGTAACACCTCTGCAAAGACAATAGCGAGAGAACTCATGCTCATGTTTAGCCGGGTGGGCATACCAAAAGAAATTTTGACAGATCAGGGTACACCATTTATGTCTAAAGTTACAAAGGAGTTATGCAAACTACTTCAAATTAAACATCTTAGGACTTCTGTTTATCATCCCCAGACAGACGGACTGGTAGAACGGTTTAACAAGACCTTAAAAAGTATGTTAAGAAAAGTAATTGACAAAGATGGTAAGAATTGGGACTGCTTACTACCCTATCTAATGTTCTCCATAAGGGAGGTGCCACAAGCTTCTACGGGCTTCTCTCCTTTTGAGCTTCTATATGCCCATCATCCCAGAGGTCTACTAGATATAGCAAAAGAAACCTGGGAACAGGAATCCAATCCGTACCGTAGTGTAATTGAGCACATAGCTCAAATGCAAGATAGGATGGCGGCTGTCATGCCAATAGTTAAAGAACATATGCAGAAAGCCCAAGATGCCCAGAAAAACAGTTATAATAAAAATGCCAGACTGAGAGTTTTTCACCCAGGAGACAGGGTACTTGTTTTGGTCCCTACAGTAGAAAATAAATTTCTAGCATCTTGGCATGGCCCATATGAGGTTATTGAACAGGTTGGAGAAGTTAATTATAAAGTGAGACAACCCGATAGGAGGAAACCTGAGCAAATATATCATATTAATTTACTAAAACCCTGGAAGGACAGAGAGGTCTTAACTACTTCAGTTGTCACTGATAAGACTGGTAGTAAACTTGAAGTAAATATACCAGACACCCTGTCCCCCCACCAGAAACAGGAAGTAAGGGACTTCATTGGTAGAAACCGGGATGTATTTTCTGTAGTTCCGGGCAGGACTAACGTTATCAAGCATGATATTGTTACAGAACCAGGGGTGAAGATAAGCCTTAAACCATACAGAATCCCAGAAGCACAGAAAGAGGCTGTAACTGCTGAAATTAAGAAAATGTTAGATCTTGATATTATTGAGGAATCCCAAAGCGAGTGGAACAGCCCTATAGTACTGGTGCCAAAACCTGATGGCTCGATAAGATTTTGTAATGATTTTCGTAAATTAAATAGTGTGTCAAAGTTTGATGCTTATCCAATGCCTAGGGTCGATGAACTGATAGAGAGACTGGGTAAGGCTCGGTACCTGACTACTTTAGACCTGACGAAGGGTTATTGGCAAGTACCTCTTACAGACAGAGCAAAAGAAAAGACAGCTTTTTCTACATCAGGGGGATTATTCCAATACAAGGTGCTACCATTCGGGTTACATGGGGCCCCTGCCACTTTTCAGAGACTGATTGATAGGATTTTGAAGCCTCACAGCCGTTATGCGGCCGCATACTTAGATGACATAGTCATTCACAGTCCTGACTGGGCTTCACATCTTCCCAAAGTGCAGGCAGTACTGGACTCTATCCGCTTAGCTGGTTTAACTGCTAACCCATCTAAGTGTACTATAGGTTTGGAAGAGGCAAAATATCTGGGTTATTCGATTGGGAGAGGACTAGTTAAGCCCCAAACAGCAAAAGTGGAGGCCATACAAAATTGGCCACGCCCCCTCACTAAAAAGCAAGTTAGGACTTTCTTGGGACTTATTGGGTATTACAGGCGATTTATTCCTGGTTTTGCTACATTAGCAGCTCCTTTAACGGATCTCACAAAAGGTAAAGCCCCACTAGTGGTTAAGTGGTCAGTAGAGGCAGAAAAATCGTTTGTAACTTTGAAAGAGGCTTTGTGCACCCAACCGGTTCTGGTAACCCCGGATTTCACTAAAGAGTTTATTGTCCAAACCGATGCATCAGAGCTTGGGTTAGGGGCAGTTCTGTCTCAGGAAATTCAGGGTGAAGAACACCCAGTGTTTTATTTAAGTAGGAAGCTGACTCCCGCTGAGAAAAATTATTCTATAGTGGAAAAGGAATGCCTTGCCATAAAATGGGCCTTAGACTCATTGAAATATTATCTGCTGGGTAGAAAATTTAGGTTGGTCACAGACCATGCCCCCTTAACCTGGATGAGTCAAAACAAAGATAATAATGCCAGGGTGACAAGGTGGTTCCTCAGTTTACAACCATTTCATTTTACAGTTGAACATAGGCCGGGGTCTAAACATGGAAATGCTGACAGTTTGTCGCGAGAAAATTTGTTTTCTGTGGTCGCTCACCCCACTAGGTCTGAGCTGGGGGGGAGGATATGTAACAGAGTGTTGGGGATGGTGGT